AGAGAGAGAGAGAGAATTTTTTATTCATTTCTTAGTTATTGGTGGACACAACATCTTTGTTGGTATGTGGTGCTGAGGATGGAACCCGGGCCGCACACATGCCAGGCGAGCGCGCTACCACTTGAGCCACAGCCCCAGCCCCTAAGCATTGAGGTTCTGCCTGAAACTCTGAGAAGCACGCAGAATGTTGCCAGAATTGTCTCCTGCAGGCCTGGACTTGAGGACATTTATTCATCACTGAGTTTCCAACAGACTGTTCACCCTTCCCTCTCAGACCCCAAACCTCTATTTTCGCAGAGTGTGAGGGTAGGGATGGAAAACACAGACTCTGCAAGTGGGAGGGATGGGGACAGGGGTTAGTCCTGCTGCCACTCCTGCTTTCCCAGCTGCTGGGGATAGGACATGATATGTCTGCCATTGGTTCAATGACACGCCACATCCTGGGGGACAGCACCCTAAGCTCTCAGGGTGTGATTCCAAAACCTGCCTTAGCAGACCCTTTAATAAGCCGACCGTGTCCCTGAGGATGGCTCTTTAGCTGACGCCTTATATGGCAGGACTAGTGGGTCCCTAGAGGGCCATCTGCAGCGGCTGTTGAGGAACTGCAACCTCGCACTGCACGGAGAGATTAAAACCTGTGACCTAAGACCTCTGTCACGGGACCAAACCTTATTACTATTATGCACTTAGGCTGATGTCACTTGTCACTTTGAGACTTGAGTTTCACATGGCTGTGACTCCCCCTGCTTCAAGTGCCATGCTGGGAGCTGCTCTCTGGAATGGCTCAGGAGGCAAGGAACCAAGTCCTGTCCACGACCACGTGAGCCACCCGGGAAGCTGACCTTTCTGGAGCTGACCCCTTGAGTTCAGTCAGAGATCCCCAAACACAGAACCCACCTAAGCCATGTCCAGAAACTCTGAAATAATAAATTTCAATCAGTGTGTTAAGCCCCTGAGTTTGGGGGCAGTTTATTATACAGTAATAAATAATTAAAGAAACCAGCTAATGCAAGAAAACTGGTAAGTCAGTCAGAAATTACAGATCAAAAAGAGAAATCACATCACCTATTATCTCCCTTCCCAGAAACGACGGTGCCTTGTAACTGGTCCAATTTTTAATACTTTAACAATAGTAGGATCCTAAAGGTATATGTTTAGGATAATACTTTTAATAAACATACGGGAAATCTTAGCTTTATAACCTCAATTGGGTTTTGGTTTGCTTTTTGTTTGTTTTGATTTGGGTTGTTGGGGTTTGGTTGTTGTGTTTTTTAGTTTGGTTGATGCCAGGAATACCCTACCACTGACCTGCATCCCCATACCTTTTTATTTTTTATTTTATTTTGACACAGGGTCTTACTAAGTCATCCAAGCTAGCCTTGAACTTGTGATCTTTCTGCCTCAGCATTCTGAGTATGTGGGACTGAGGCCTCTGTACTCAGCATCAATTGTTTTTATATGGCAATGAAAATAAGTTAAAAGGAAATCCCCAATTACAACAGCAGCAGAACACTTGAAATATCGAGAACTTGAATAAGTAGACATTTATTTTATGTTCCTTGATGAATAAGAAATTTTATTTTTTAAGTGAAATTCCAACAAAAATAATGTACATTTTAGTACATAAAGTGTTTTCTCTTTCTTTGCCTTCTGTTTTTCTTAATAGAATATTTAAGATACATCCAGAAAATTCTAGGGAAAGCAGAATAATGTTAGTATATATGAAATTGGTTTAGTTTATAAAATAATTAAGTGCTGGCTCCTTACAGGATTCTGTGTGGACAAAACATTTTCAAGAACTTAGGTGACATCTCAAAGCAGTGCATAACAAATGAGCTTATCAATAAATCATATTAAGACAAACAGCTATAACTGAAAATGTGAATATTATACCCATAATTCACATGGTACATCAAATAAATCTAAAACAGCTATCAGGCCTTCTATCTTAAACTATACATTACTGTGGACATGCAGATTGATTCTCTCCACCTTTTTATTACTGTTAGGATTAAAATCATTATGAGGAACTTTTTTGATATACATATTTTCATACTGATTCAACTATTTCTTTGAGATATTCATAGAAGATGAATTGCTGGAATAAAAAGGGCATATAATATCCAACTTGGGTACAGAATGTCTTCTAGAAATATAACAGGAATTATACTCCCACTCAGCCTCTCTGGGAGCAAACTTTTTCCAAATTCATGACAACACTTTATTATTCTTTTTAATCCTTGCCAAGCAAGTCTGCCAAAAAAATTCATATGGAATTTAAAAGATCATTTTTTGCATTTATTGCCTGTAGTATTACTGGCTGTTGCTACATATAAGTAACTCTGGCTCATGTACAATTATTCCGTATTAATTGTGTCTTTCATGTTCTACTCCATCTCTTTAAAAATAATTCAGATTCTAATCCTTACTAATTTCTAAAGGAGCTGTTAATAAATTGAGCCTTTTGTAATTCTTATATTTTCCTCCATTAAGTTGGCTTTTGAATCTTTTCTTCCTGAAGTGAGGGTTTTTTTTTTCAGTATTTAACAGTCAAATTTACCAACCATTTCATCTACATTTTTGCTTAAGGCATCCTATCTTCTATACCTGAGGATGCAAAAAAAAAATTACTTAATCTGATATTCTGTTTTTTAAAATTTCAGCTTTATGGCTATGTAAACAACCTTTACTATGATTTGCAAAGTGAGAGTTTAATTTTTTACTCCAAACGTTTGGGGAATTGTGTCACATGATTTTTCAATAATCCATTTAACAATAAGTCTCTCTTGTTGATTTAGAATGGCATATTTTCATATAAATTTTCATAAATAATCATTTGTTGATGGATAACAAACTACCCCCCCCCAAGTTTATGTGCCTAAAACAAAAAATGCATTATTTCTTGCACTCTGCATATTTACTTGGATCAACTGGGTAGTTTTCCATGTGATTTCATCAGGAGCCAAGGTCATCTAGGGACTTCCCTGTCCTCTGTGTTCAAAATGGCTCCACTTATTTTGTCTGATTTCTTTGTGTGGTAGCCGAAGGCGAGGCATAGCTGGTTGCAGGGACAGATAGGTCTCTCTTTCTCTAGGTGGTCTCTGAACCTTTCTTTCTACTCTTGGTCTATCCTCTTGGTCTCTAACAGGGAAGCTGGATTTCTTATGCAATGTGGAAGAACTCTCCAAAAGGCAAAGCTGAAGCTGCCAGAGCTTCTTAGGTCCAATTTCCTAAAACTGGTAGCGTCCTTTCCAATGCATTCCCTTGTTAAAGGGAGTCACAACATCAGTCGAATTCAACACAAGAAGGAAAATATACAAGTCTTGAATACTTGGAAGTTTGGTCCATTGAGGGCCACTTTTGGAGACTAGCAACCACAGTTACTTATATTTCTTTCCTGGAGCTTGACAGTAATATATAACTTTCATGCCTTCCAATGAGTAAAGTAACATACAGCTTTATTTATTCAACATGTATACAACACATTCATCGTTGTCCTCCTGGAGGAACATTTTCCATATTATTTGTGTTACACGTGAGGTAACTGACGTTGTTAAAATATATTGACGTGATATTTTTATTAAAATAAACCATAAATTGTGATTTCCCCTCCTGCAAAATTGTCAGAAGGGCATCTAATGTTAAACTCGGGCATCTGGGATCCGGGATCACGGCTAATAGACTGTTTTCTTCAGCGATATTTGCAGATACTCTGGTTTGTCTTGCATTTGCAGCCGGTTCTTGTGTCTTCTGGGAAGCCGGCCATTACTTTTTATTCCCTGGGGTAAACCCTGCAGCTCCTTCCTGTTCTCTTTACACACTGCTGGAGCTTCTTCCAGTCTGTAATTTCCCTTTCTCATCCACAGCCATCGGGGAGCCTGACACGAAGGTCTTCTCTTTAAATTCGTGGTTCACAGCTGTCAAACGAGAGTGGGGCGACGAGCACGGCCGCTCCTCGAGGGACCCCTTCATCTCTGGGCGGCGGCCGCGGCGCCTTGTGGGTAATGTGGTCCCGGAAGGGCGGAGAGCGCCGCGTGGAGAACCCTGGGAAGGGAAGCCCGGCGGCTTCGGCTGCGCACGCGCCGCTTCCGGCCTCTACCTGGACGCCCTTCCGGTTGTCCGGCTCTTCCGGGGGAGGGTCGTAGAGCCTCAGCCTTCCCGCGTCCTGGCGTCCACTTGGCCTGGGGCGGAGTGACAGCAACGCGGGTGTGCCCGCCAGTTAGAGGAAGGGCTGGCGGCGAGCCCAGAGCACGCGGGGGTCGGAGGGGAAGGTGGGGCCGGGCGCAGCTGGCCTCGGGGCAGCGAGGTGCAGGCGCGTCCCTCTCGTGGAGGCCCGCCGCGGGGTTCCGATGGTCGGGAGCCGGGCAGGGAGGGCAGCGCTGGGCGCCTGTCCCGCAGGCCTCGCGGCGGGCGCGCTGCAGCCCTTCTCTTCCTGAAGACGGGGCTGGGTGAAGGGGGGAGGTGTGTGCATCAGGTGTCTGAGCCCAGAGTTCCACAGATGCCCCTGGACCTGCACCCGGGGGTGACTGTGGCCCCACAAAGCTCCAGTTCGACTTGGAGAAGAAGGATGCGAGCTGCCGTGGAGGGAATGGGCAGGGCCCAGATTTGACAGCAGGACCCTTCTTTGGAGGATCTGCGAGGTTTTGGCTGGAGGGGCGGGGAGCTGGCCATAGCTGAGGAAATGGTTTCTCCATCACCTCCGAACCGCGTACATGCCATTCCCTGTGATCTCCACTTCTGTTTTATTAAGAGCCGCTCAAACCATGACAGCCACCACTCCTGGGATTTATTGAATTTCCCCTGTGTAGAGTCACACCGTGGAGGTAAAAGTTTTTAACAACCTTTTAAATTTTCCTTATTTTAAAACTGGTATTTAGAAAGCAAATATTCTATTCATCTGTGCGATTTGCTAGTGACAGAGCCAAGAATCGAATCCTGGTTTCTCAATTCCCAGACCAGAGGTCTGTCCTCCACCACGTTTAGGTTAAAACAAGTTTCTTAGCAAAAAGTTCTTTTGTGAACTTAAGGGAAACCAACCTTTAAAAAAGATAAACATCTTAAAGCGCTTGGATTCCTTCTCTCTGGATCCTGTAATCTCATTGACTAAATATAATTAGTAGGGAAATGGGTAAGTGACATCAATATTTTCCCATGACTATAAATATTTTAATCCTAGAATCAATTTTAATGCTGAACTACTGTTCCAAATTTTGTATATGATAACTTTTGTTGATCCAATCTCCTATTACTTGACTCACATGTTATTTTTAAATTTTTCATAGGAGGCATAAATTGGCAGTAATTCAGTAGAAAACATTTGTTTACATTCACTCAGAGAAACTCCATGAGGGGAAAAAAAGAAAAGGAGAGAAGCTCTATGTCGTCAATTCACAACTATAAGTGGACATTCCCCAACCTGTTGCTTCTGTACCAGGTTGGTCAAAAGACCATTTCCTTACATGGAAGTGTGCCTGTCTTTGTAGGTAACTGTAAGGGCTGCTGTCTAAGCTGACCTCTCATGCTTCCCTTCCCCATTCTTCCTTACTCAGCTCTACTTTCACCATTCTTGGCCCTTTCTCAAGAGCACCCGAAAATGAACAAATCGCAGGTAAGTTGTTTTGGGATTTTCGTCCCAGATTTTACAGTGGATTTTTAAGAGATTTACAGTTTGTGTTCAGGTGAAATCGAAGCAGTATATAAAATTTGCCATCAGAGAGTAAGAGTATCAAATCAATTTTGGAAAAGTCAGCCTAAATAAACAGAAATCCTATAGATGTATTCAAGTTGTTCCAAAAAGGCCCAGACAAGGAGATTCGCCTTACATTGGATATTAGCATGGGTTTTCTTTCATTTATATACATTGACATTTTCTTAAATAGTCTTTGAATAAGTAATACAAAGACAGCATTACGAAAAGCAATTGTCTTGGGGGTGGGGGAGGAAGCAGTGGTTTCCTGTGACTTTGATAGCCAGGCAAAGTACATTAATCATAGAGAACTAATTCATCGTCATCCAAGTAGATGGCAATCTGATGATTGTCCATGGTCCATTGATGAAACCGAGAATAAATCGATTGCACATTCTGCAGATAATAGTCTATAACTATTTCTCTCAGATATACTTTTAAGACAAGTTTTACAAGTAGCAATTCAATGTTATATTCTGTAGGTAAAACTTCACTTGCTCTTCTTGATTTAACTCACTTTGTGTGTGGTCTTTGTCTGCTCCTGCCTCTCCCATAGATCTCTTCTAGTAAAGTTAGCAGCAACCTAAATATTTTCAAATGCAGTGGGTTGTTTCTAGTTCATGTTTTATCAGATTGATTATTGCATTTGACAGTCTGACCACCCTGCCCCAAAATGCACCTCCAATAATATCTTTGAAATCACTGATTCTCTTTCTAACCCTCTAATCATTGTCTCTGTTATATAGTCTTCTTCCCTTTTGTACCTCAAAATCATTGTCCCATTGCTATCCTATTATTCTTTCTGGTGTTTTTCATGCCATTTATGGTTTAACTTATAATTCTTTGTACTTTGAAATCTTTTTCTACCTCCAATAACCTTAGCTTGAGGTCCTTGCTGAACATCTCCATAAAGATAGTCACAAAGTTCTTGGAGTCCTCCTGTCCAAAATAGAAATAATATTTGCAGTCAGTTTTCTCTTCTTCTTTATTCCCTATCATTTCCATTACCATCCCACCAGTTATGCAAGCCAGAAAATCGGATACATCTAAATTTTTCCTGTTCCTTATCTCATACCATGTCTAGTTACCAAGCCTTGCTAATGTCTAATAGATATTTCTTGAATTTCTTCCATACTTACTTCTTCTGCCCAGTTTCTGTCACTTGATTGTCATAATAGCTTTCTGCCTACATACTGTTCCCACCTGAAAACTTATAAGTGCTTAATGAACCCTCTAAAATGCCAGTCTGATCATGTCTTTTCATATGGAAATGACTTAAGTATGACCATATTACTTACAGGATAAAAGTTTAGTATTCTTAGTTAGTGGGACTTATAAGTGGAACTTTAATTCCTGCCACTCTAGACCTTTAATTCAACAACTGTGTTTTGATCAACTTTTACATGCCAAACATTATGCTAGCTACTTCGTGTATAGTGTGGACAAAAGAGATATTATCTCTGTTCTCATGGAGCTCACAAGCTAGTTCAGGAGAATGGCATCAGACCAAATATCCTTTGATCTAACACATTTTAGAGAAGACAAAAACTATGCATGTTCCACCATCTCCTACTTCTCTCTTATTTGATGATGTCTACCCACGCCATCTGCCTTCTCTTTTACACAAGAGTGGAACAGCATACCATAAGGTGTGGTTTCTGGCCTCATAAAGGAGCAATAATGGAACTAGATGGTGCAACCCAAAGGTGTAGGCAAGGTGACTTCCCTTGGGAACTGAGAAGGAGGCGGGCAGATAAACTGACACATCTTTTTCTCATCCATGGACATTCCAAGGTCAGTTTCACTTTGTGGTCCTTCTGAAGTCCCATGGGTCACTGCATGCTCCTGCTGAGGTACCTGCTGCCTCTTTGGAACCCATGTGAAGTGGACAGTGTGATAGGCCTCTCACATCTCATTGCTCTTACCTGCCCTTTCCTCTCTCCCTTTAGTACTTTAGTCTTTGCCTTAGGCTCTATTTTCTGGAGATCCCAGCTAAAACACTTCTTCCCTTTGTCTTGGTTTGGAAATCACAGATAATCTTATATAATTTTATAGAATCAGCATAACTGTATAGGAGAAATAAAAGCCAAGTAACTTAAAACATGTTTTAATATGGATTTGTACAGATACATGAAAAGTCAGAGTAATAGCCTGATGTTTAAACCTAGAGGTTGAGAGACTGGATAATAATTACAAATTTACAACTTGTAGGTGTAGTTCAGATATCATTGGCAGCATTTCCATTAGAGATATTTTTCAAAGAATGAAAATTACTAAAGTTCCAATCCAAATCAAATAACCGTGTTCCCTGATATATTCAGTATTTCATTTGAAGAAAATTTAGTCTACATGAGAAAAAAATAAATATAAATACATATGTATTCAAATGTAAAATGGAATAAGGGTCTGGGCTCAGATCATTATGAATAGATTCATCATCTATAGGAATATTTAGGACACTAGAAAATTACAGAAGACTTGGGACATTTCTTTCCTCTATGAAACTGTCCTGTGTTGTAGGAAGTCTACCATCCCTTGTTCCCTCTCCCTCCAAATTCAGCAGCGTGCCACAGAACATTGACAGTCCAAACTTCCTGAACAGAGGTGTAAAATGCCCCGTGTGCCAGGTGTCAACCATGTTGAGCACTGCTACAGTGCTGAGTGAGTGCATTTAGTTTCCTCAGCATGTCCCAAATTTTATGCTCCTGCATGTGCCTAATGTGCTGATTGTTCCCTGACTCTTTACCTTTTCACCTTCACTTGTTTGTGACCACAGCCAGGAGCCATTTCTTCATAGAACCCATTCCTGCCTCTTGTCTTCTGCCCCCTGGGCTGTGTTCAGCATTATAGCTGTCTGCATTTCTGTATCAGTGTAGGGTCTGCACATTACCTGTGGGTCTCCACACAAGTAAGGCCATTGTTTTTGGCGGTGCAGGCCCATATTGCATTCCTCTCTGTGCCTGCTGAGAGTAGTACTCTACATTTCTTTGTTGAGGGTCACCTGTGAACTCTCCTCTGCTCCGAATGAATTATCAGTCCATTAGAGTTGCTTTCAGAGTTGACCTGAGTCACCAGGAGAATCGAGTTTATTATAAGGTGAGTGTGTTACTGTTCTTACTGTGGACCTGTGTTATAGGCCACCACGTCTGCTTTCGTGAATAACAGGACTCTAGTGATGGCTCTTTACTCGCACAGGCCTTTTGCAGTTATTAGGACCTTACATGTCTGTTGTGCCTGCAATTGTAAGACACTGTTTATTGTCAGCTACTTTAGAGGATATAATTCTTAGAGGAAATAATATGGGTATTGTGACTGTTTCTAGCTTATGTATAGGAGACAGTTATTTATGGAAGGAAGGATGTCATTAAATTATCTAATAAAGTGGGCCAGTGTGAAGATACATAGCAGACTGAGGAAGGAGAGACTGAGGTGAGCCAGGACAGCCATGGAATGAATGGGTGAATGTGCAGGATACGTACCTAGAGTACAGGATATGTTGCATACCCTCTGCATGAGGGTATACAGAGCTGGAGGTGCACTCTGTTTTTTTACTGCTTTATTTTGCAATAATTTTAGACTTAAAAAAGAATTAGAAAAAATCACAGGCAAGGTACTTGCATACCCTTAACCTACTTCCCCTGCATAGTACAGTGATCAAAACAGAAAATGAACACTAATTCAGTAGTGTTATCTATCGTCTCAGATTTTGCCAGTTGTCCCACTGATACCGTTTCATTTCAGGGATCCAGCCTAGGATCCCACCGTGCATTTAGCTCTTATGTCTCTGTAGCCTCTTGCAATCTGCCACAGTCCTTCTTTGTCTTATGACCTTGACACTTTATTGGCCAGTACCCTGTAGGGTTCATTCTAGCCTTCCCCTTTCCTTATTTATAATTCCTTTGTCTCAAAGGAATGAATCGGGCTCTTGTAGTCTGCATTCTGTTTACTTATTTTCTCATCCAGCTATACACAAGAGGTAATTTTAAGAATTGCCAATCCACACCCCATGTGAGAAACAAATTTCCTAACTAAAGTATAATTGTATACAGTTGATTTTACTTAGTCTTACTGAATGTAGTCAAATGCTCTTTTCTAAAGTTACTTTGGATAGTTCTTTCCTTCCTCATCCCTTTCACTGTGGGTGTGACTTATTGTTAATTTGGGTGTTCAGATGTCACTCTTTGTGTTCTGTTTGGAGTTCCCTTCCCCATCCCGTGTGATCGTAGTTACTTGTTTGGGGATGGATATACCATCCTTACAAACTAGAACTGTACAGAAGGATATGTAGAGAAGTGCCACTCCCCTTGCTCTGCCCTTTCCCTCGCCCCCATACTTTTCACCTGTTCCCACTCTTCCCCTGTAACCAAGTTTGTGGGTTTCTGGTTTACTCTCACTATATTTCTTTTATACACACATGATGGTTGCGTGTTATTTTCTTTTACATAAAATATAGTGTGTTGTACATATTCTTTTGTGCTTTGCTTTTTTCACTTAACAATATAGCCTGGAAATCATAGAGACTTCCTCATTGTTTATGCCTTCAGATTTTCCTTCCAGTCACCAAATTTCCACCTGCCAACTGATGTCTCTACTTCTGTAGTCCACAGGCACTTCAAGCACAGCACATAAAGATCAAAGCTTTAGCTTCCTATGCTCAGTTTTTTTTTTTTTTCCTGATTCCCTAATCTCGGCTTACAGTCCTTGCATCTACCCAGCTGATCATGCAAATGGTCTGGGTGTTGCACCTCCTACTGCACAACCAACCAATGACCAACTCCTCTGTCCTTCATCGTGTTAGTTTGATGCCCTTCTTCTGCACTGGAACTTAGTTGGACAGCTTAGTTTTCTTCCTACTTGAGGACATCTTAGTTTTCTTCCCCCCAATCTGACCTTTAGGCCATTCTCTTTTTCAGAGAATGGGTCAGCAGATATTTTCTTTAAAGGACCACAAGATGATTATCATTGATCTTGCTGGCCACATAGTCTCTGGCAGCCTGTTTGGCACAGCAGCTTTAGCATGGAAACAGCTGCAGACAGGTGAACGATTGAGCATGGCCAGATTTGGCTCTCAATAGCTGTATTTGGCCTACAACCCGGAGCTTGTACTTTGCCAACCCTTGTGCATTGCTTTTGGGGGGCGGGACAATAGTGGGGGTGATGGAACCCAGAGCTTCTCTACCTCTGAGTTCTGCCCCCAGCACTTTTTACTTGTTGTCTTGAGACAAAGTCTCACTGAGTTGCCAGTACTGGCCTTGAATTTGCATCCTCCCGCCTTAGCCTCCCAAGTAGCTGGGATTATAGGCATGCACCATGCTCCCAGTTTAGAGCATTACTTGTGAAATACAAATTTGATTGTGAAACTCCAGTCCTTGCTTGCAAACATCTCTATGGATTTCCATCATTCACAATAGTGATCTCCAAAGTGGAGAGAATAGGGGGCAGCCCTGGGCCCCTGGGCTTCTTTCTATTCATATATTATCTTGACTAAAAGAATAAAATTTTCAGGCTTTATTTGACATTAATATATAGCTTAAAGTAACTCAGAATTACATTATAGTTTCTAAGTAAATGTATATATTGGTTATATGCAAGAAAGTTTTACTGATGAGTTTTAAGATCCCAAAATTCAAGACTACTGATTTAGGGAAAGGTCCCTCAGTCCAGCTCACATTCCTACAAAACAGTTTTTATTTCAGGACAAACATTGACCCCTCTAAAGGAAGACTCCTTTAACATAAATTAGAACTTTCTCCTTTTGTGACTACCCTTTATCTTTGCTGAAGGTGTGTATTTATATTCGTATCACCCAGTGAGAGGGTGTGCTCCTAAAGAGCAGGGTCGGTATTTCATGTGAGTAAGTAATCCAGGAAATCAAGCACTCCAGGGCATGGTGTAAACTCAGAACACTTAAATTTTTTATTTAAAAAATGAGCATAGTGACAGGATATTTCCAATGCTGTACTGTCCCGCAAAGCACATCTCTCTAAGCTTACCATAAGCCTTGGCAGTGGTCTCCTTATTTGTGATGTTCTATAGATTTGGTGTCACTCAATTCTAATCATCTCAGATTAAACAAATTCTTTCAGAGATCAGTTTCATTCAAGGACCTGACTGTGAACTTCACCCATGAAGAGTGGCAACAACTGGACCCTGACCAGCGGCTTTTGTACAGGGATGTGATGTTGGAGAACTATAGCAACCTCATCTCAGTGGGTGAGCAACGTTTTCTTGTGCACCTCCTAAGAGCATGCTTTTCTTCTGTCACAAGAACATGTTGAAATTCTAGAATTTAATTACATAGCCTTCAATATCAGAGAAGAAAAATGTTAAAGCCATTTTAGGCAATAGAAGTAGGTATGTTGTGTGTTTGTGAGAGAGAGAGAGAGAGAGTGTGCACACACATGCTCCCTGTCCTTTCCTGCCCTTCACAAAAACATTCTGGCTTCACTGAGCTTTTGCTGGGCATCTTCGTTGCATGGCTTCTGAAACTATTTTCTTCATGTTTCAGAGATCCTGAAGTCCAAAGAGCTTGGTCCAAATTCTGTGTCATTTACCATTAACAGGGTTTCGTGTTAACAAACCAGATGTGATCTTCAAATTGGAGCAAGGAGAAGAACCATGGATAGTGGAGGAAATCTCAAGGGAGAGCTACACAGGTAAATAAATGATAACTGAGCAGGTGGAAACCAAAGGAAATGAGAGTTCCCAGATGCCCAGCAACCACAGTTGGCATCTTATTGTTGTGGTTTTTTTGTGTTTTTTTGTTTGTTTGTTTGTTTTTTCAGCAGGGGAGGGTTACTGGAGAATGAACGCAGGGGCACTCAACCACTGAACCACATCACCAGCTCTTTTTTTGTATTTTTATTAGAGACAGGATCTCATGGAGTTGCTTAGGGCCTTGGTAAGTTGCTGAGGCTGGCTTTGAACTCTCGATCCTCTTACTGAGCCTCCTGCGCTACTGAGATTACAGGCATGTGCCACCACACCCAGCTACACAGTTGGCATCTTTATAAATTTTTTTTTAAGAATCTATTTATAGGACCCAGATCTTTGGAAGTAATTGAGGAAAATTAACTGTAGTTACTGAAAATATTGTTTATCTCCTAATAAATATATTCCTTTAATTGAAATGTATAAAGATTATTGCTCTTAAGTTACCTATCCAGTCTCGTCATGGACATGTTTTACACCTAGATATTCATCAATCTATCTTAATAAATCTTGCTTGATATGCATGGTTTCTCTAGTTCCTTCTTCTGTGTGTGATTTTTTTTTTTAAAGATAGAGTGAGAGAGGAGAGAGAGAGAGAGAGAGAATTTTTAATATTTATTTTTTAATTCTCGGCAGACACAACATCTTTGTTGGTATGTGGTGCTGAGGATCGAACCCGGGCCGCATGCATGCCAGGCGAGCGCGCTACCGCTTGAGCCACATCCCCAGCCCCTTCTGTGTGTGATTTAACTGAGAAATAACAGTTTAGAATTAGGCAAACAAAGCTCCTAGCACTCCAGCTGTAAGTCCCCACCCCCTCAGGCTTGTACAGGTGTCTGAGGGGCCCTGCCTCCCTCTAATCTGGGCCATGCTCCACTCCCAGTTTCCTACCCCGTTCCTCTTTTTATTTGTACAGTTCCCATATCACTGTAAATTCCACATTCACCTCTTCCTTATCGTACTTTTCGATAACACTGATCGTCTTCCTGAGAACTGCTCTGCCTAGTCTCACTGCATCACTGTCTTTCCCTGAAGCCTTCACTAGACTCTTGTCTATTTCCGTACCCAGTTGGCCACACTTGTGGTGTGCTTGGTGAACTGCTGTTCCCTGTGACTTTTATTTTTCCACCCTGTGTTTAGAGTATAAAGTGTCAAAGGTTCTTTGCTGGCTTCCTCTTCCTTTGACACTGTTAAATAGACCGGCATGGATGGGTTTGCTGTTTTCTTTTCCAAAATCAACCAAAAAGGAGATATTTGCACTTGAAATTCTTTACTACTGTGAGGCTTGGCCTGCAGTCTGATCCCCTACTACAAGGCATTTGTGGGGATTCCTTTTGCATAGAAAATGTGTAAAGACTCACAAATTATTGTTAATTGTGCTTCTTTTTAGAAGATGATGATGCCTTAGAGAAGGACAAGGAAATTCAAGACAAATATTTGAGTCAAAACAGCACAACACTCATTACAAAAAGAGTGAATGCATTTGGAACAACGTTTACTCTGGACATGAATCTTGTTCCCTCAAGAAAAATACCCTACAAATATGATCCAGGTGGCAACAGTTTTAAAACTAGTTCAGAAATAATTGTTGCAAAGAAAAGCAAAGAAAATATAAAGGTTCCTGATGAACATGGTGGATGTGGGAAGGCCCTGCTCCATGCTAAGCATGAGGAAAGTCATTCTGGAATGAAAAAATGCAACTGTAATCAAGCAGTGGAAGCCGGCAGTCAGGAGGAAGATCTTCTGCAGCAGAGCATTCAGACTTGGAAACAACCTTTTGACCATAATAAGTGTGGGGAGCCCTTCTTCAGGAGGGCACTCCTCTCTGCAGAGAAGACAGCATGTGCTGAAAAGAAGCCAAATGAATGTGATGAATGCAGGAAAACCTTTTCTAAGAGGTCCACCCTCATTGTGCATCAGAGAATTCATACAGGGGAGAGACCCTATGTTTGTAATGATTGTAGGAAAACCTTCCGCGTGAAGACCAGCCTCACTCGACACCAAAGAATTCATACTGGAGAGAGACCCTATGAATGCAGCGAATGTGGGAAAGCCTTCATTGACAAATCTGCCCTCATCGTACATCAGAAAATTCATGGAGGGGAGAAATCCTATGAGTGTAATGAATGTGGAAAGACCTTCTTTCGGAAGTCAGCCCTCGCTGAGCACTTCAGGTCACACACGGGGGAGAAACCTTATGAATGTGAGGAATGTGGGAATGCCTTTGGCAAGAAATCTTACCTCATGGTACATCAGAGAACTCACAGAGGAGAGAAGCCGAATGAATGTAAAGAATGTGGGAAAACCTTCTTCTGCCCGTCAGCGCTCACTGCACATCAGAGAATTCACACAGGAGAGAAGCCCTATGAATGCAGTGAGTGTGGGAAAACCTTCTTCTGCCAGTCAGCCCTCAATGTGCACCGAAGAAGTCACACAGGAGAGAAGCCCTATGAATGCAGTCAGTGTGGGAGATTCTTATGCACCAAATCAGCCCTCCTGGCACATCAGATAGTTCACAGAGGAAAGAAGTCTTACGAATGCAGCGAATGTGGGAAGTTTTTCTGCCATAAGTCAACGCTCACCATACACCAGAGAACCCACACAGGAGAGAAGCACGAGGTGTTTAATGACTGCGGTAGAACATCTGTGGTGAAGCCGAACGGCAGTGACCATAAGAGAATGGACACAAAGGAGAATCTGTATGAGTGTGATGAGCATGGGCATGCAGCCAACAGAAGTTCACACCTCTTTGCACACCAGAGGACCATGTGGGAGAGACCCTATGCATGCAGTGAGTGTGGGAGGACCTACTGCAGGAAGTCAGCTCTCACTCACCATCAGAGAACACACTCGGGGGAGAGGCCCTACGAGTGCAATGAGTGTGGGAAAACCTTCTGCCAGAAGTTCTCCTTTACTGAACACCAGCGAACTCACACTGGGGAGAAACCATACGGATGTAGAGAGTGTGGGAAATCCTTCTGCCATAAGTCAGCCTTCAGAGTTCATCAGAGAATTCACACAGGAGAAAAACCATATGAATGTAACCAATGTGGGAAAAGCTACCGTCGGCTATGGACACTCACTGAGCATCAGAAAATACACACAGGGGAGAAACCCTATGAATGCAATGCATGTGAGAAAACATTTCGCCACAAATCAAACTTCCTTTTACATAAGAAAACTCATAAGGAGTAAGTTCAGCAAGGCAACAAATCAAGTAATTACGTAAAGCTAGAACTGAATATGCATGGGGGAGTGAAATCTTTTCAGTGTAAGGAACATGGGAAAATTTTCTGCCACAGGTCAGCCCTCACCATACTATCAGAGAACTCACACAGCGACACAGTTTGTTTAATACATGTGTATCACATTCAGTGTGAACTCTGAAAATGTCAGCAATTCAGACACTACGCCAAGTGTGCCTACCTTTTAAAAAAATGAAGTGTTATTTAAGTTTGTTACTTTATTGTTCTCTTCAGTGTTACTTGATAATGTGTCAGCAGGTGTGAAGGTCTAATCTTACTTCATTTTAAATCAGTGCCAGTTCTTATGACAGTTGATTAACTGCCAATGTAGAGATTTATAGTATATTAAATCATCAGGTTAGACAGTTTGTTTTCTGTCTTCTGTCTCCATCTGTTAACATCTGGTAACAGACCCCCATCCCTTTATCTGCAAAGGTGACAATTAAGAGGACTAACCACACTACTACATATCATAAGGGTGTTTTTTAGAATTCATCTATCAAATTCTGAGAAAGGGCCTCTGTAATGATGATTAAATTATATTGTATGGGTGCATGTGATTAGACCGTTTTTATGGAGATCATGTTGAGTCCTGATTTCTGAGTGGGTTTTTCCCTAAGCCCTTTCCTGGCCTCTCTCTGCCTCTGTGCATTCTGCCCAGGGAGGACAAAGTGAGCCCACCTAGTTGGTAAAGCTGGGGAGAGTAACAGGCTGCTCAACTCAGTGGTTTTCTGTCTTCATTGTGGGCTTTCCTGAAAGTATGATTTCCTGTCATGGGTATTGCCAGTGACTAAGTAAGCACATTGGCCTCATTCTGTCATTCAGCTAATTGGCCCATTTGGTGGTCATGCCATGTTGCCTTCTCCAAATCTGTCTTCATCTGTAATAAAGGCCTCATCCTGACCCGTAACTGCTGTTGCTGCTGCTTTTAATTTTTGATTATTCAGGTGGGAGAAAATGGTGCTGTTTATTTGGGGCTCTTCAGAGAACCCAGTGTAAACATTATTTATTTATCTGCTTATTTGGTTCTTATTTTATGTCCTTCAGCACAATGGACATAAGTATACACATGTGCATGTATTTTATATATGAACAATATTTATCCCTTAATATTTTTCTTTGATCTTGTAAAATGTATTATTTTAAGTGAACCCAGTGATTGCTCCGTGTTTCTTGACTGGTTTTGCATACTGGGGTCTGTATATCATGCTGTGCCTTCTGTTGCCCACTCGCTCCGAGTTATGTGAAAAACCATGATTCTACCCATCACTGCATTGTTTTTCTTTTTGGTTTGATATAATATTATATATGGAAAAGCTATGTGTTAAGAAAAAAAAATTTCAAATCTGGTGAAAAATGTAAATCCTCAAATCAGGAAATTCAATGAACCCTGAATAGGAAAGAAACAAAAAGTACAAGTCCAATCAAAATCAAATTTCAGGACATAAAAATCAAAACCAATTTAGTAAAAAAAAATTTTTAAAGTAGTAGCCATCCTTGCACGTGGGTGCACACCTGTGATCTCAGCGTCTCAGGAGGCTGAGGCAGGAGGATCACAAGTTCAAAGCCAGCCTCAGAATGACAAGGCACTAAGCAACTCAGTGAGACCTGTCTCTAAATAAAACACAAAATAGGGCTGGAGACCTGGCTCAGTGGGCAAGGGCCCGCGAGTTCAACCCCCAGTACCCCCCCACACACACAAAAAAAGGAATAGCCAAAGAGAAAAAGACCACATACAACAGAGCCTATTCATTTCCCAGGTTGCCATAACAACTACCATAAACTGTGGGTCCAAAACAGAAGTCTGTTATCTTGCAGCTCTGGAGGCTCAAGTCTGAGGTCCAGGGTTGAACAGCCTTGGTGTCTTCTGAAGGTGCTGGAGGAAGTCTGTCTCAGGCCTCTCCTGGCTTCTGGTATTTCCGTGGCTTGAGGCATTTTATCTCCAATGGCTTCTCCTGGTGCTGAGTTCCCCTTTTCATAAGGGTATACTGGATGAGGGACCCCTCCTGTTCAGGTAGGACCTCATCTTAACCAGTTGCACCTGTAACGACCTTATTTCCAGATGAGGTCTCATTCTGAAGTACTGAGGGTTATTAGGACTTCATCATAAACTTGGGGAGACAGTTCAACCCATAATACAGGATAATGTGTTCATTTCCTATTAGTGTACCCCAAATTACCCCCAAACTTAGCAACTTAAAATAGACATTTATCATCTCCCAGTTTGGTGGTTTGGAAATCTGGGAGTAACCAGCTAGGTCTGGCTCAGGTCTTTCATCAGGTTGCGGCCATTTAAAGACTAGACTGGGCCTGAAGCCTCCTCTTCCACAGTGGCTCTCATGTGGCTGTTGGCAGGAGGCCAGTTCCTCTTCATAGAGCTTCTTGTCCTGTCCTCTCAGCAGGACAACTGCATCTCTCTAGAGCAGCGATCCAAGAGTGACGCTATGGCATCTCTTGAAGCTCATGGTTTTCACTACAACCTCCTGGCCCCACAGACCAGCCTTAGCATGGTGTGGGAGGAGCCCGCACTGGGACATGGAGGCCCACGGGTGGGAGTGCCCTGCCGCAGTCTGGCTGGGCACAATTCAGGAGCCACTTGTCAAAAGAAACTAACTTTATTTTTAGAACTACAAACGCCAAACAAAACAGCTCCTCAGG